TAAATATGAAAAATATTGGAGTAAACAACAACATGTGATACACAAGGAATGAGCAAGCTAAGATTTGGGGATCAACTTCTTTAGGGATGAACAAATTAAATCATTCTTTTTACTCTCTTTTTTTTAGCAAAACAAAGGTGAATGATCTTCAGGAAGGATATGTTCTTTTAGTACATTTAAAATAAAGGGTCATGCATCAAACTATAAGATCATGACTCTTTACTACTCCCTCCATTTCAAATTAATTAAATTGTTGAGATATTTTTCATTTTTCCAATTAACTTAATTGTTCAATTTTCAAGAGTACTTTTAGAATGTTCTTCCAAATTTACCCTTCATTAGTTAGTATTGAAATTAGTTATTAATTAATATTTAATCATAAATTTGACAATAATTAATAAGGAAAAAAAATGAAAAGTTATCTCTAATTTATGTCTTAATCTTCCTTTCTTAAAGATTGTGAAACACCGCAACAATTCAATTAATTTGAAATGAAGGGAGTAATATACTTGTGTAATGCAATTTGTGAATTTTTTTTATAATTTACTTGATCTTTTTAACGATTAATTAATTATTGTACTATATCAATTGATAATAAAAGTTATTTAATTTGTTCTTATGATTTTTTTAATTAGTTATTTATGTTTATTTTTTGTAAGGGGTGTGTAAGATAGAATATATAAAACTAATTTTTTATCATTTTTTTCTTAAGGGGTGTACAAGATTGTGAAACACAATGAATAATTTGAAATGGAGAAAGTAGCATATAATTAAATTATTAATAACTTCTTTAATTCACGGAAGAAATAATGATATAAATGTTTATCCTTATTTATTTATCCTTTTGTCTCATTTTGTGAAAGATAAATTCAATGTTTTAGCATTTGATACCGTTTCATATTTTAAGTTGTCACTCCGTTGATGCTATGTTTCTGTATTCTAAGCTCAATTTTGAAAATTTTAATTTGGTAGGATTCAATACTTGATATGATCCCTTAATAATAAATAAAATTAATATTGACTATTAATTGTAGCCTTCATTTTATTTTAATTAACTTTATGAAGTGGCTATCAAATTCTATTCATTTTTCATCTTTCTTTTTTTCTCTGAACTTTGTCTTGCAGGTAATTAACATATGAGATAAGAATATACATATGTTAATTTGTGTTTATAATTCTAGTATTTTGAAGTACTAAATGTTATCATCTTTTATTTCATTTGGAGAAGAGATACTTTGTTGTCATATTTTAATTTGTTATTGGTATTCAATAGTAGATTCCAAATATTTGAACTATTTTTTGTTTGAAAATGAACGATATTCATGTAATTTAATTATAAAACTACTTTTAATACAATGATAATTTGAAATAATTTATGTTAGATGGGCACACGTGCAACCAGAAACTAGTTCCCTCAAATAAATAAATGCAATTTGAATTCTGTCCAGAAACTAGTTCCCTCAAGTGACAATATCTCATCTTCTCGACTAATCTTCTTAGTAACTTGCAACTTCTTTACAAACCAAATTGATGAAGTATGAGATTTAGCTGCGATGAAAATCTGAAAGAGGAACACTTTATGATTTCACTTTATTTGAACTTTTTACAATTAATTTTGATGTCATTATTACGTTGGCGTGATTCATGTCTTTAAATTTTGACGACCAAAGTTGATTTCCTGATATAAGATAATAATGCAACTCCAACATGAAAAATCACTACTAAAAAAACAGTGAATACCGACCTATAAATATCGACCTCCGGAGGTCGGTATTCCCTGAAATACCGACCTAAAACTGACATCCCAGCTTAGGTCGGAAAAGGCTTGGTCGCTATTCAATACCGACCTCTGGAGGTCGGTATTTACTGACCTCTCGAGGTCGGTTTTTATTTTATGTCGGAATATTCATTTTTTTAAATTTCGACCTCTGGAGGTCGGTATTTTTATTTTTGTAATGTTGAAATTCCGACCTCCAGAGGTCGGTATTTTTATTTTTGTAATGTTGAAATTCCGACCTCCGGAGGTCGGTATTTTTATTTTTGTAATGTTGAAATTCCGACCTCCGGAGGTCGGTTTT